GAATTTATTTAATACACGAGTTTCACAATTTGAGTTGAATTACTGAAATAAATGAACTTTTCCATGACATTCTAATTTATTGAGCTGCACCTGTATTTTGCAGGGTCTGAAGTAATTTCTAGTTTTTAAAGTTTAATGTGACCTTTAAAAATTAACAAAAAAAATAACATGTAATAACACAAATTTATTTGCATGCACACTTTGTCTGGAAGAAATTTTGTCTGATAACCTTTCCAGTGCACATAAGTAGTATACTTGTATGCGATTATTATTAGTGAACGAGACCCCATGTGTTTACAGACATGCTTGTATGTGTGTGTTTGTATTGTCATTGTTCAAACTAATTTTATTTACACACACACACACACACACACACAAACACACATCAGTTCAGTTATCTCTTTTCTCTCTATCACTACCTGTTTTATATTCATTCTCTTGTGTTGTCTTCCCTGCATCTCTCCCATCTTTCTTGTGCACTTGTTGTTTTTGATGCACCTATGTTGTCGTTCTCCTTCTATCTCTCTGTCTGTTTCATATTCATCCCTTTCTATTAAGCCTTCCTCATTCATCTCTCTCTTGGAGAAATTATTAATATTAATGTTTCTCCCTCTCCTCTCTTTCCTCACCCTCTATCTCATCCTCTTAACATTACCCTTTCTCTATATCTGTTCCTTACTGTCTGTCTCTCGTTCACATTTCACTTGGATCTCTCTCTCTCTCTCTATCTGTCTAAGTATTCATCTATTAGTGTTGATGATTCTTTTCTATCCCTGCAGCTGTACAGTCATCTATCAGTTTAATAATCTCTCCATCCTTCTGCCTTCTGCCCTGCTCTCTCTCTCTATCTCCTGTCTCTCTTCCTCTTATTTTTCACTGAGCCGAAGTGTAAAATCCTGTGTTAAATTAACATGCATGTCAGAGTATGATAATTAGGGCCATCATCATTAGTAATGGCCCGTGTCTCATTGGATACCCTTATATAAGGTTACTGGAGTCTAAATAACCTAAGAGCTAAGCCCCTTGCATGGGGTTCAGGTTGAATTAGCCATCCATCAGCCGAAGCACATTGCACCAGTTAATACTGCTCCAAGACCCCAAGGGCCTCAAGTCTATGGCCGAGTATGGCCATAAAGATTAGTACCATAGTTCACACATGCAGTATTATTGTAGAAAAGCACAAGGGAGCTAAGCACACAAATCTGGTGAAGGTGAATAAATGTAGCTCTGTTTTGTGTATTGCGTAAAGCCAGAATCCAGAATTAACACTCGCCAAATACGAGTAAAATGTGATTGTGGCATTTACGAAAATGTTTGTTACTCTCTAGCAACATAATACATGGTTTAAATTTAAAGAAGGCTAGTCTGATCATCACTAATGTAAGTGGCAAAATTATTCAAACTGAATCATTTAAAGTCATGATGGAAGATTGTGTTGTGACATTTGATTAAAAATCAACTATAATCTACTAAAAACGATTAGAAAACGATACCTAGGATAAAGGTTATTTTCTGCCGAACTCCATGTGGCAAGACATTATGCTTCCCAAATGTAAATGAGGAACAAAATTACAACGAGTCTCACTGTCTTAATGACAGATGCAGTTTTAATGGGAGAAGACTCTCATTTCCCATATGATGCTGCAAGTGATACCCATCAAAAAACAAACAAAAATTGTCATATGAACAAAAGTATTTTTATTAAAAATGTAGAAAAATACGCTTGCATGGCTGGTATGAAATATTTAGCTTGTAATTTTTCTTCATTAACCTGCCATTGGCCAGTGTGTGGCTGAAAGCTGATTTTGGAGCTTGCGTACAGCAGTCAATTTGAAGTCTAGGATGTTGTTTTAGATGTATGTTGGTCATATAGCACATGAATACCTATAAAGAGGATCATTAACATGCACAGAGAGACAAGAATCTGGGTGCATTATCAGTGTACAGTATGAGTTTTCCAGGCGAGAGACTACATATGTAACATCATTAGACTTTGCATCCCTAAAAACTATTTTTAACTTTTTAACTTGATGCATTAATTTTCCTTAAACATTCATTTGATTGCAAGTAACTATTGTGTGGCATTTTAGCTTTATATGTACCTGAAATATTTGAATCTATAAGAGTAGCAAAACATGGCTTTCTTCTTTGTTTCTCTTTTGCAGTAAAACATGCATTCATCACAAAGAGGCCTGTCAAATAGGAGGACCTGTTAAGGCAAAGACATATCTGTATGAAAAAATAAACAAGGACAAAACACGCCACCAACCAAGGAGACTGAATATTTCCACTGAAAAATGCAGAAGTGACATCCATTGCGGAAGGAATCTACAACTGTTAAAAGAGACAGTATTCAAGAGACATTGGAACCAGCCTACCATCCTCTTTCGAACACAGGAAGGGTCATGACCCAGTTGCCATGCGCATCACCACGGTGACCAGCCTTCCTAGTCCCTCCCCCCTCCTCCTCTTATTGGTTCAGCTGCTGTTGTGGCTCATCCTCCCAGGTCAAGAGGCAGTCGGAGCCGCCTCCACCTGTCCCGTGCCGTGCAGTTGTTCTAATCAAGCTAGTCGAGTGATCTGTACAAGACGAAACTTAGAAGAGGTGCCCGACAGTATATCAAACAACACACGATACCTCAACTTACAGGAGAACTCAATACAGGTAAATTCTGACTACACCGGTCTTTTCCCATCAGGCTTTGGGAGAGGATGTTTATGTTTGTTTGTTTCTTAGATTTATTGAGTGTCAGTTTCGCTAATGTTGCTTTAACACTGAGTTGTGTTAGCACAAATGGCTCAGCCTTGCTCAAATATTGAGGTTTAAGTGTGAAGTCAGGTGTTAATATGACCTACTTTGAGTGTGAAGGTTTAGATTTATTCTTAAAATGATAAAGATAACAGCAAACACACTGCTCACCCCGACAGTGAAAGTGTTAACCAAAAACAAGCCTATTAAAAATGAATAATAATAATAATGCTTTTCATCAAGCCTCCATTTAAGCATAAAAATTCTTATTTGGTTTGTTGTGTCCTCGAGCCCCACTTGAAATTATTAAAAATCTAAAAATGTTTTAATACCTGAAGGCATCCTAGATTCTTTGGCTTCTTTCTCTCCCATAGCATTTTACCACAAGAGTGCAGCTCTGACAGATTCCACCCTCCTCTTCAACACCCCCAACCCAGTGTGTTTAACACCCTCCTCCCCTCCCCTGCTCTATATACAGAGGGGATTGTGGCAGTAGGCCAGGAGGAAGCTTCTCGCTGCCCAAGAAAAGCAGTTCTGGCTACATCCGATGCACAGAGACAAATTGTTTTAGAACCCACAGCATTTAGGATGTGTGAATATTCTCTAGTCTTTTCATTTAGTTTTTCATCAGGTTTTAGCACATTCTAATATTATGATTGTTTCCACCATTACTGAGATGTACAGTTGCAAGCCATTTATATGGGGCATTTTTGTATTGGGTTTTGAAGGCACAGTTCACTCAAACATGAACATTGTGTCATTATTTACTCATCTTCATGCCACTTAAAACCTGTATGCTGTTCTGTGGAAAATGATAGCTTTTTGAGAAATCCTTTTCCTTTCAGATAACAATTTATGTTAGGATACAAAAACAAACAGACACACAATAAAAGTAGTATTCCGTCTGCTGTTTTAAAGCCATATGATAATGGTGTGTGAGAACAGACGTAATGTTTTTAATTCATTATTCACTTATATTTTCCTCTCTAAAGTGGTCCAATGCCCCGTGCCAGGTTTAACATGGACACTAAACAGCATTCGTTTGTGTGTGTCAGAACTGAACGTGGTTCAAATGCCAGTTCAAATGTGTCGAACTACATTTGAGTGCTACAGCGGAGGGTAAGAGTTGCTGTGAACAGCAACTTTTATTCTGTTCCTTGCACAGAGCTGTCATATGGAATAATTTGAAAGTGACTTTATGTTGTTGTTTTCTTTGAGATGGAAAAGAAATGGTCACTATGACCTGAAAGAAAAAACTGCTTGAATATTCTTCAAAAATTCCCCTTTTGTGTTTCACTGATTAAAAATAACAGCATACAGTTTTGGAACAACATGAGGTTGAGTAAACAGTGACACAATTTTTATTTTTGGGTGAGCTATTCCTTTAATGTGTTTTTCTTCATAAGAGTGACTGATAGCAACTTGCAGAACAACTTTTCTGTAAAGCACAACAATCAGTAATGAATGTACTTTCTTTGTCTATGACTTTATATTTTCTATCATGTACATCCTTCACAGGAACAAATAGATCACACACAACTTTAATCCTAAACTTGTACCTGTAATTTTCTCACTTAGGTGATAAAATCAGACACATTCAAACATTTGCGGCATCTGGAGATCCTCCAGCTCTCCAAGAACCAGATTCGTCAGATAGAGGTGGGTGCTTTCAATGGCCTCCCAAACCTCAATACTCTGGAACTGTTCGACAACCGCCTCACGCTGGTGCCATCGCAAGCTTTTGAGTACCTCAGCAAGCTGCGGGAACTGTGGTTACGAAACAATCCCATTGAGACTTTACCAGGCTACGCCTTTCACCGCGTCCCCTCGCTGCGGCGTCTTGACCTAGGCGAACTCAAGAAACTGGATTATATATCTGATGCAGCCTTTGTCGGACTCATCAACCTGCGCTACCTAAACTTGGGTATGTGTGGCCTAAAGGACATCCCTAACTTGACTCCCCTGGTGCGTCTGGAGGAACTAGAGTTGTCTGGGAACCGTCTGGAAATCATCAGACCCGGATCCTTCCAAGGCCTGGAATCTTTGCGCAAACTATGGCTCATGCACTCTCAGATGTCGGTCATCGAGCGCAATGCTTTCGATGATCTCAAGAACCTAGAGGAGCTTAACCTATCCCACAATTCCCTGCACTCTTTGCCCCATGACCTTTTCACACCTCTGCAGAAGCTGGAACGAGTGCACCTCAATCACAACCCATGGGTGTGCAACTGCGATGTGCTTTGGCTAAGCTGGTGGCTGAAAGAAACTGTGCCGAGCAACACAACTTGCTGTGCGCGGTGCCACGCACCACCCTACCTTAAGGGAAAGTACATAGGAGAGCTAGACCAGAGCCATTTCACCTGCTATGCCCCTGTCATTGTGGAGCCGCCCACTGACCTCAATGTGACCGAGGGCATGGCTGCTGAGCTCAAGTGTCGCACCAGTACCTCCATGACCTCTGTGAACTGGGTCACACCGAATGGCACCCTAATGACCCATGGCTCCTATAGGGTCAGTATTTCCGTTCTGCATGATGGCACACTGAATTTCACCAATGTAACTCTGCGTGACACTGGCCAATACACCTGCATTGTGACCAACTCAGCTGGGAACACAACGGCAACTGCTGTCCTGAATGTGACAGCAGCAGACGTCAGTGTCAACTACACCTACTTCACCACAGTCACTGTAGAAACTGTGGAGTCTACGGGAGATGAAGATTCTGCATTGCGTGTCTTCAACGAGACCTTCATCCATATTCCCGGGCCTACACCTTCTGGGCACCTCTGGCATGAAGTCCCAACTACTGCCTCTTCTCTCTCAATCCTTGGCTCATCGTCTTCTCCTCGAGCAACCAAACCCACTTTCACTGTCCCCATTTCTGAGCCCAGCTATCCCTCTGGACTAGATGATGTGATGAAGACCACCAAGATCATCATTGGTTGCTTCGTGGCCATTACCTTCATGGCTGCCGTCATGCTGGTGGTGTTCTACAAGCTGAGGAAGCAGCATCAGTTGCACAAACACCTTGGGCCGGCACGAGCCATTGAGATCATTAATGTCGAAGATGAGATTGGACCGGGAACGGGCATCCGTGGCAGCGGCATCTCAGGAGGATCCACAGTACCGCAAGGAGGGTCCGGCGGAGGCGGACAGAGTTTGCGTCTGCACCACCCTGAAATCGTCAACCTCCCGAACCTTGCACGAGCTGAGCATCTCAACCATTACTACAAGGCCCATCACTTCAACAATAACATGATGGGTCTGGGCCTTGGCGGAGGCTCAGGTGGAGGCCTAAACAATAACAACAACCCTTCGCCCTGCTCCCAGGCCCAGACTACCCCAATCTCTTACACGCAGGTGCCAGTCTCTGCAAGTAGTACATCATGCTCCATGCCTTCTTCAATGCCTCTGCCGACCCTTGGCATCCACGGGTCACTGAAAGGCCTGATGGGTAAAGGGCAGAACCCACAGATTGAGCCGTTGCTTTTCAAGAGCGGCTCCAAGGAGAATGTCCAAGAAACCCAGATCTGAATTTGAGAAAGAGAGTAAGGGAGAGAGGGAGAAAGGTAAATGTACAGATAAAAGATGGAGAAACAGTATCAGGGAGACAGAAACAGATGAAGGGTATTGGCTGTTCAGCCCCTATGGGTATGTTCTCAAGAGTAATGAGAAAGTCAGACCCAGCATTGAATGAAATATTACCTAAACAAAAATACAAGATACAGCTGTGAAATCACTACCAAGTACATACACTGGCAAAGAGTGGGGGAATTTCTAGATGGAAGTCAGGCAACCACTCAGCAGTTTAATATCACAGTCTTTACATTACTCTGATCCGCACGTATGAAGGGGATCATCAGACATCAGCAAACAAAATCACACTTGCCAATACGATATAAATCGATGCGTTTTTGTGTAATGCAAGATTGATAATTATGTGCCAAACTTGCACCAATCTGTGCCAAAGCAAAATCTTTGCACATCAGCCTCACTGCGCATGCGTACAGACACATTTCAGAAGATTAAAAGATCTGCGCGTATACTGTACTCCATTAATAAAGCAGATATGCTACAAAAATGTGAACCATACACACCATTAGGTAGGAAGTGTATATAGAAATACATGAACAACCTTAAGTATTTACGGACAGTGGCTGAGAACGAAAACTCACACATGTAAATGGTTTAGTGAACCATAAAATTCGGATAACAAAATGGATCATTCAAATTTTGTAGAAGTTTGCAGTCCTACGAAGGAAAGATAGATTAGTAGACCAGCACTGTGTAGAGGGCTTATGTTTCGCGATGATGGACTCAGTTTTCTCCCCTTTCTCGAAGGCTCTCACAGTTGAGGGGAAGATATGAAAATGAACATGAACATAAAAAAAACAATGAAAGATATACATATTTTAACAGAATATATAAACTATGAAAGTATACATGATATATAAATATATTTTCATTCAGAGAAATAAATTATGATGAATCTTTCAATTTTTCTGACTGAAAGCCACGGCTTTTGAAGAATTAGCAGCTGCTGTTGTAGCGCTTTGTCACTTATAATTCCTTTCTCTGCATAAAAACATAAATGTGTCTGAAACTGGTACACCCTCACAGGACTTAAGGGCATCCTGAGGAGATGGAGGGACAGAGATGGATATTCTGGAAATTGTGTTTGATTTCAGATACTTTGGCTTTGTTTTTTAAGTCTTAAAAGGTTTCCCTTTCCTGTTCTATAACTAACAGGGGTCATTGAGGAGAGGTAATTTTAATTAACATTATAAATACACTACTGTTTGATTCTGCAGGCGTTTGAGACCCAAATTGGGTCAATATCAGTTAACACCACTACCAACAGAATTATAAAAGACAGTAATGATGATAGTATGCAATGCAATGGAAAGAAAAACACTGTAAATGCTGATCTACATGCTGCTATACTGAGAAAAGATATTTTTAGTGAGATGTTTTAGTAAAATCCGATTTGAAAGTTGAGTAAAAAGAGGCTCCTTTTGACATTACATTACTACTACTATCATCACTAAAAAACTTGAAAAACACCAAGTGTCAAAAGCATAGCGGATTTAGTTTCTCTGTTTTTACCTAGAGGTGATGTTTGTTTTTCATTGTGTAAAAAGTGATTGTCGCTACAGCTGATAATCCCCTCAGTAAAGCTGGAATAGCAGTGGATATACTGACAGTGACAATGATTTGCTTGATGCATTACAAAGCCACAACAACAACTACTCCAAACAAGGAAATGGATGGGCCATGAAATGACTCCCTCAATGGCCTGTCCCCTCTGTTTTGTATAAGACAAAATCTTTGCCAGGACCCTGCTTTTTTGCCAACGTGAATCAACGAGATTCAGAACCGAACACAAACTCTGGTGATTACTGCAGGGGTAAAGTGGATTATTGCGAACACTGTGTCCAGACATGTGGACGGAACTACTGTTTGAGCAGAAAGCGAACAGAGGACAGCTTTTGAAAGGTAAGAGAAAACCCACTCAATGAGCGAGATTGGAATTTGGAAAACTTTTTTTAAATGAAAATGGACAAATAAATGACAACTATAGAAACTTATAGAGCTCTTTTAAAACAAAACTGTTATGATAATAAGTGTCTTTCATTATTTGTTTTTATCTAGTTTCTTTTTTATTCTTTTTGTTTTTTCAAAATTAAGTGTTATCTTAATTGTAATATTGTTATTGTTATTATAATTAGCTGATATTACACTCGTTATAATTATGAAAAATGTTCTGCAGAAGTCACTTCGAAATTAAAAAAATATATAAAATATATAT